AAAAACCAGCAAGTGAAGGGTTTGAGACACAAGAAGAGAACGGTATTATAAAGAGGGAGTGCATGCTAGGCAGACAGGACAACGTGCAGAAGAGTAGGCAGAAGTAGGGATGCGTCCACGCTTGGGATCTGGAGGGAAAACGGCAGGTTGAAAGGTCACGGCTATTCAGATCAGTGTTGTGCTTTTATATGTCTAGACTTCCCCTCAAAGCAGACAGTCGTTTACAATGCGTAGGTACCCAATGTCTAGTAAAGGACACATAGCAGACTTATTAGGACAGTCCTCGGATCACATGGAAAAGAGAATGTGGGCCTGGAGGCAAAGTGATCTGCTACGTATCTACTGCAGTCTCTCAGGTAAGGAAATTATGCATCTTAAATCAGAATAGAAGTGGCCAGAATGCTGAGGATGGCTGGATCTGGGCAATATTGAGAACCCAGGCTGACGTGCATGCAGAGGAGGAGGAGGAGGAAGGGGAGAATGATTCAGCCATCAACTCAGGTAGTAACGGAAGTAACACTGTCACCACAGAAGCTGAGGACAGATTCTGAGAAACAGGTTTGAATGAGAACACACTGCAGAGGGCTCAAGAAACAAGGAGTCGTGTGGCTATGAGGTCTGACCACAGCATGGCTCACCTGCAGACAGCCCTGCAGTGCAGGAAGGGGAGGACTAGGAAACTCACCCGGAAGTCCTTGTCATCTGTATCAGGGATGGCGAATCTTTTAGAGACTGAGCACCCAAACTGCAACCAAGGCTGCGATTAAACCTGAAGACTGAGGTTTTAGTGTAGGAAAAACTACTCTACACTAGTATCTTTTGTCTTAAAAGAAAAATGCAACACATGCCACAGGTTCACCACCACTGATCTCTGTGCTGAGTGTGAAGTCATGGTACAGGGAACGGATGAGAAAACAGCAGATTACAACACTATTTGGGAGGTCAGTGAATCTGTGGTATATGGAACTTCCCAGTCACTAAACATGACCAGAATGCAGGCTATGAGGCAATACATAAAAGTGCTGGACTTGTTAACTTTTAAAAAATCAGAGAATACATAAAGCGATATAAATGCAACCAAGGAACAGTACAGTGGTTGCACTGGGCCTGGTGGTGCACACCTGTAATCCCAGCACAGAGGCAGGAGACTGTGCAAGGTCAGTATGAGAAGGACACACACACACACCCCACTGGGTAAAAGTCAAACACAAAACAACATAATGTATACTTCCAACCGTGTGAAATTCTAAAATAGACAAAACTAAGCTATGGCAGTAAAAATCTGATCAGTGTTTCCTTCTGGGGGGATAAAGAGGAACCAACAGAAAGGGTCATTAGAGGGTTTTCTGATGTCACAGAAATGTTCTGTTTCTTGCTGTAGTTTATATGAGTATTTATGTTTGTCACAACTGATGGGCTAATAAGATTCTCACTGAGTGTACATTACACCTTAATCTAAAACATCACAGGATAAAGCTGTACAAATTCATATACACCCAGATAAGGGACCCTGTGAATGAAAGTTGTATCTGAGTAGTGGCACTATGGGCTAATTTTGTTGAAAATGTTTCTTCTCATATATTGTTTTTTAAATAAAAAAAGGAACTTTAAAATTTTGAATGCCAATAAATATTTATTAACTACCCATGAAAATGGAGGGCATACTATAATTTTTTTCCCAGTACTAAGCCAAAAGAATCTCTGCATTAAGCACTTTATACTGTCTGAAGACAAAAGATCAGTAACCACACCAGGTTAAAACATCAAGGGATAACCAGACCGAGGGGAGGTAATAGTTTTGTTTTGAGGAGACTGAAGTTTTTTTTTGTTTTTTGTTTTGTTTTGTTTTGAAGGGGTTTTGCAGAAGTACTGAATCATTCCGGGGTGCGTGGCTCAGTTGGCAGAAGCATGCAGGCTGCCTCTGCAGGGAGCTGGCGTCCTTTGGTAGGATGCGTACTCATCAGGGAAATGAGACCGTCAGTCAGGGGGATGAACAGAAGCCCTGAGAGTCTGGAGGTCAAAAGTACACACTTTACTTGGGTTTCAGCATGCCTGGGTGTATAAGCTGTCTTATATTTGCAATGTTTTGTAGCTTGGGAACCCTGTTCCTGCGTTCATAGAGAAGGTAAAGAAAAGTTACCCAATGGGAGAGTGACATCAATGACCCTGCATTACTCTCTGGAGGGAGAGGTGGATACCTTGGTGATGGGGGTAGTGATGATGATGATAATAGTGATGAGAGCTCTCTTTCCTGGAGTTGTCCATGATGGACCAGCTCCTACGCTGTTGCTTCTTATGAATTTTAGGCTCTGCAACAACCCAGCAAAACACATACAGACTTCATATCAGTAGTAAGCTGTACTCAAAGAATTTAAGTAATTGATAACTAGGCATGAATGGACAAAAACTTAAGACTACTAACTCCACACACTAAACTCGCCTGTGTCATGAAGGGATTGATCAGGTCTCATTTCCATTTGTGTCTGAACAGCCTGTCCTAAGGAGCTGCTAATATTTCCATTAATTACTATTACTTTTTGTAATATAGTTTATGCCCTACAAACCGCAAACATGGTTAATTACTACACTATAAAACTGCATATATCTAAATGCCCGTTATTCAATAGCAGTTAACACTTGATCTTAAATGCTCTACAATTATCTCATATGATTCTTACAATCACCCTTGGGCAGAAAATTATTACTAACATACTAGAGAGAATAAAATTGGGACAAAGACATACGATGTGACTTGCTCTATGTATGCCACTCAGCTCCTAGGGAGTTGAGCCAGGATACTGTGACAACTCAATCCTGAGCACTTTAGTGTTTCAATTTTTAAAACAAGTTTTGAACTCTGCTATGAAAACCTATCTCTTTCCATCTCAGCTCACGCTAAAAGTTACAATCCAACTGGAAGCCTTGAAGACTCCTGTCTAGTTTCATCACAAGCATTAAAAGATTCTCTCTTTTTTTTTTTTAAGGTACCAGGGACTGAACTCATGACCTCGTGCTTGCCAGGCAGATGCTTATGCCTCTGAGCTAAATCCCCGGCCCCAGGATTCTCTTCTTTACCCACATAAAAACAAACAGCTTTCCAAAATGTGAGGAATTATTCAACAGCAACAATGACACATTCCCTGAGCACAGCCTCAGGTGACAGAGCAATACAGACAGCTACCCATCGTGCCCTAACACTGTGACAGCAGTAGGAAAAGCACGTCAGGACACACTCCTCTTATCACAGATGGAAGGTGTGAGTGGGTACAAACCGATGATTATTTCCTGATAGGCTGTGTGCTGAACTGGAGGTGCTGAATACCTGGGCCCCAATTGAAATTGCTTAACTGTGCCTCCCACTGAAAGATAAAAGAGGATCCCCCATTCAAGCAGAGTGAATGAGCCCAGTGTTCTGTTCTGGTTCTGGCCTTGCCTTGGACAGAGGCTGAAATGTGAAACACAGGAAGGCTCATCTCTACTTCTACTGCAGTGTAATAAACTCCAAAACACACAAAAGGCCCCTTTCCTGATCTTCTAACTCTGCATTCATTACAATATTTAAAGCACAGACAAAAGCAAATTAAGTTGGTCATTTGGGTAATCAAAAGGGTAGCAGGTAAGCCAAGTCACAGGCAGGAAGCCTTCCGTCTCCAAGGACTGGGCTGCGTGTCCCTAAGCTGTGGTTTCCTTAAACTGTTTCATCAAGTGTCTTTAATTTCCATAGCCTAAAATAAGGTTAAGAATGATGTGTTGCTTGCGTATTTGTAGGAATCCAGAAAGTGAACCAAGGGTTTGGCCTTGTCTTCCACTGGGAGGTGAACGAAAAGACAAATGTGGAAAGTTTTGACACCAATGCAAGGCCTTTCGATCTTTGTCCGGGTTGGGCTGGGGCTGGTGTGGAGTAGGGTGCTCCAGTCTAGCAAGTTAGATTAGCAATGTAATAAACTCCAAAACACATTCCTGCTGGCTGGTGGCAGAAGTGGTACAGATCTATATAGGACAGTAGCATATGTACCACCAGTGGTTCAAGCCACCCAGCAGCGAGATATACAAATTATGGCCCCATCATGAATATGTTAAACTCTGGTCTGGTCCATAGAAGAACAGGCAAAGTATTTTCAAATTGGATGAACACAATTTGCTTCTCTAACAGTTATCTTGGCATTCACTACTTATACTCATGCCGATGCACACTTCCAGTGCAAGGAGCTGGTAGACACAGAGAGCTGCGGAGGGCAAGGAAAGAACAACTTCAGGTCTGGCTGGGGCCAGACAGAGGAGCTGCCATGGACCAGAGAACCCACAGCAGTCTGCTCTCTCCAGCACTGCAGCTGGGGAGGGACAGGTGGAACCTGCTCGGTCCTGCAACAGGGTCTCCAGGGGAGACAAGAACTCAGCCTGGCCTATGGAGAGGAACACTAGGTGTTTAGGGTCCCAGACACATGCTCTCCTGTGGCGCTGAGTGTTCATTCACCTTCGGCCCCAGTTAAGTTGTTAGACGAGCGTGGAATATGTGTTTTCAGATGAACTGCTCTAACAGGCTGTGCCCTTTAAACTTTGCACTCACTTCTCACAAACCATCCCTAGGAAGGGTAATGTAATTACTGTTATCAGAAATCTCCTCAACACTCTTTCGGACGAAACAAGGTTTGGGGGGAAAAATGATACAATTATTTAACAGGAATTCACGTAATGACAAAAAAAAAAACCTCATTCTATCCCCTTCTCTCCAGCAAGAGACATGTTTTGGTCATCAGAGGCTCTGCTAGGCTTAGTGAGATCAGTGCCAGGAATTCTGTGAACTTGAAGTCAAGCTGCCAAGATTCAAAAGAAATGTGGATAGTTAAGTGCTTGCAGAGATACCAGACAGCAAGCTGTAACAACTGCCATTTGTAACTCCAGCCTCGATGCAGACCAGAACTCTAAATGTTCCAGTTTCTCCCTTGCACCATAAAACTCAGCAGCACCACCACCACCACCAAAAAAGAAAAAGCTCTTACCTAGCTCTCCCCGGAGGTTAACAAGTTCTTGAGACAGGGTTTTGTGTTGTTTCAGTGCTTCTTCCCGCTGCGGAAAACACACATCATCAAGTTACTAATGTTTTCAAGAGGGTCTCTTTTCAGACAGTACACATTTGTTATCACCAAAATATGGTGACCCAGGAAAATGGGACCCAGAATCAAGAAGCCAAGTTATGAATCATTTAGGCCAACACAGTTTGTGTTGTTGAAAAACACAGATGTGCCTTCGCTGTGAAGGAAATCCGTGTTTCAAAAGTCTGTATTTTTTCAGGTCTTTGTGAAACTTTCCTTTGAGAAACCAAATGGCTCATTTAAAATTATTTGCTTTGAGCCAGAGCTTTGTTGCTGATCCCTAGCACCCTTTCAGCTAATGCATACTGTACTTAGGATGGAATGCATTCTCCTCCTCCAAGGGCAATAGAGGCCTAATCGGTCTAAGATAAATATTTAATGTTCTAAACATAGGCACTTACAATACTTTGTCTTATAGTCTCAGATAATAAAGTTTTGCTATAAGATCAATCCTTAACTTATAAAAGAAAAAAAAGAAATGTTTGTTATAAAGCTATGGCAAAAAAATATAATCCTTTAGAGAAAAAATTAAATTGATTTATCTAGCTACTCACAGTTTCAAGGATGATCATAGCTAGGTAAATGTTAGAGAAATGAACCAAAAGAATCCACACAGCTGTTTCAGTATTTTAAAAGCAACCGTCACCCTTGCGATAGTAATTTTCAAGTTACCAGCAACCCCTAAGAAAGCACACATCCACACACACTCATACAAATACAGTAGTTAAGACACAGTTCCTTACGAGGTAGATCCCCTAGCCCCAGGCATAACTAAGGCAGCCACAGGATTTCAAAGCTCTGAAAATGCCCTCACTGGGATAGCCCCAGATGTAGCTCCCACCGCATCCCGATCGCATATTGCAGAGATCATAAGATTCATCCAGCCTTTGCAGCAAGAGTTGCTTGTCATTCAAAGCATTTCCCGGATTCCAGACACCGTCTGCCTGCCGTAGTCCCTGACATTCTTCCAGAAAAGCACTATAAACAAAAACTAATTACCCTTGTTGCTGCACATGGAGGGTAGAGGCACATTTTGCTGCTGGGGCAGCCCATTCTCCAGCTTCTGTCTCCAACTCCCCCACCCCCTGCACTGTCCAAGAAGTGCACAGGTGGCTGTGCCACCCACCAGTCAGGTCTGCCTACATTCAAAGCTCTACCAGGAGGAGCGCCATTGGCCCTTGGTGGCCTTCCTGCCGTCCTGCAGGTTACCGTAAGCCTCAGACTCCTCTCTCCCACAGAAGCTGATCCTGCAGCTTCTGCCTTTGGCACAGGCAGCCTGCGATTACTTAAAGCCATAGCCCTTCATTTATGAAAAACGAGAGCCAGACATTAGACTGATCGATTGCCACTTACTTAAATATCAACTGGGACAATGGAAACAAAAACTGACCTCTCTGCATGGATAATGGAGTTATTTTTAGATTTGTGAGCCTTTTTACTCCCCTCTCTAATTGAGGTCATTAGATTATCACACTTACTAGTAGAAAAGGGAAAGTTGTTCTTCCAAACCCATATGCTAAATGAGGTTAGGAACTAAGTGACGGGCATGAAAAAGGGGCGTGTTGTGATTTAGAATTCTAAGTGTCATTATAAAATGAATGCTATTTCTCTCAACATTTAATTTGATTGCTTAGAACGTGATCCACTGATTTAAATAAAAAACCTTGAAATGCTGATTTGAGCATTAGAGGTTATAGGTATCTTATTGCCTACTATTTTGCACTAGTCTCACTAGTAGCGAAAGCTTTAACCAGAAGTGCTGCTGTACAAACAAGTAACAGTGACTGAAATTTATTAAATACTTTTACCACCAAGTACATTTAAACCTTAAGGGTATCCTGAATGCTTCATTTCTAAACATATGGTATTTAAATTATTCTGACTCACAAACCTGTGAGCCTGAGTTTTAAAAATAATAAGTAGGGCTGCGGGTATAATTCAGTGTAGAGTTAATGAGCACAAACCTCTGGGTTCAAGTCACACTGTCCGAAGAGAAAAAAAGTCATTGGCTTTCTAATGTAAAAATTAAAGCTTAAGGACAATCAGCCTGGCTAATAATGAAAGAAAAAATTTAGAAGTATTGATCGTGTCCCCTTCTTTTAATTTTATAAATTTATACCTTAATAATGTAATTCAGATAAACAGCAGCACATTTTATCAGTAAGGTGACAGAAAAGCCAGACTACGGCTTTATGAAACATCCACAAGCAATCCCAAAACACATTCAGTGAACTTGCTTAAAGTTCTCTTTCCAATAGAAGCTAACAGAAGAGATGGCAAGAGAATTAAATCATTCCCAAATGCATAGAAACTAAAAAGATGAAAAAATTAAGAATTACTGATCATGTAATTTCCAGGACAATTTGGTAAAAGCCATTATGGTTTATGACAAATGTGACCAGATTTTTGCTTTTTAAAGGGGCTTAGAAGACGAGGCATTCCCCCCAAGTCCACTACACACAACCACCTTGTCCTCTGTGTTTTGGAAGCATTTTACATATTCTAGTCTCTGCCATTCACAGTAACAGCAAGAGGAGAAGCCTGTGGTCACCTTCCACTCCTTGTCTCAATGGGATGTGCAAAAGTCAGTCCATTCTCCCTTCATAATATGTCCTGAATCTATTGTAGTTTTTCCCTTAGCCTCCACTCTAGTCATGATCCTCACCAACCCAGTCCTGGACAATGAACAGGCTCTCTTCACCTTCTAGAGGGCTTCTACGTTTATTGTTCCATATTTTTCATGCACACAAATTCCCTCATTCATAAAGAACTTTGTGTTAAGTGAACGAAAAACCACAAAACAGAGCTAGGAGGGACATAGTTCAGTGACAAAGGATGTGCTTTGGGTCCAACTCCCAGCACCAGGCAGAGTCACCATGGACCTGAGTCATCCAGTACCTGTTTAGACTCCCAGCCTCTCTTCTGTGCAAGTCACAAGCATCATGCCTGCCCCCCTCACTGTCAACTGCACATCCCTGGGCGCCTCATCTTCTTTACCTGACCCATTATACAAACCTTCCAAGAACACTAAATGTCAGTCAGTGACACCATTCTCCTCCCTTAACGCCTAGGAAGGACATTTATCTTTCTGGACTGGTGGGCAAGTTATTACTCTGTAGTGACCAAGCATTTTTCACAGTACATGCTGAAAAAAAATACGTAAGAAACTTAAGATACGGCCACTGCTTTCAAAAAGGCTATGGTGGAAATGAAATGTCCAGGCCCAATTCTTCGGTCATCAAACAGATAATTTCATTTGAGAGGAAGCAGTGCAGGATAATGGAAAAACTGAAAGGTTTAAAAATGGTCCTTATGTGAAATGTTGACCACCACGGCCATATCCTAATAGACATATACTAAGTACTTCTGCCTGATGTTCCTGGTAGCCTGCCCTTTAAATGTATTTTATCATTTATTTGTAGATGATAAAATATATTTTGTCAGTTAGATACTGATTCACTGTTCCTCCTTACTCAGACATTTCTAGATTAGGGTTTCTTTCCTAGATGATAAACCCTGTATAGTCCAGATAACAAGTTTATTTGATTCTCTGTATAATAATAACATGCAGAATTCCACACCTACGGTATGATAAAAGAGAAAGGTAGGAATGTAGAGAGATGTTTCTTTACTTATCTGTTAAATATATGAAGTGCTCCAAGAAAAAAAAAATGGATTCACTATAATTAGAGGTCTCTGGGACACAGCACTTAGTGCCTGGCTTTCGTCCCATCAGCATGCCTGGATTTTGTTAGCTATTGAATATCATCAGCGGCACGCGAGCCACATCAGATGGTGCAGACGTGGCTATGTCTGCCCTCCCCCCAGACAGTCAATCTGTCAGTGGGGCCACGTTTTTGGTCTAAGACAGTTTTACTTAAAATGATTAACATCAAAATTCACCTTGGATTACATGCTGCTATAGTTCAGAGTCTATTTATAAAACAAAAAAACGTTTTGCAGGCACTTTAAAGGATGAAGTAGAAGTGCTAGAGGGCTGGAGAAGACTTCAGTCATGTTTCACCTACACGGACCCTCTGGAGACACTGGCCTCACTGCCAGCACGCTGTGGCTCACCTTGGTGGTCTGAGGCTCACCCATAATTTAATAACTCATAATCATTTAGCAAAGGTCTGCAATCACAAGATATACATATTTACACATATTTTATACACCTATAAAACACATGTATAGGCTATGATCAAAAAATACAGTATGATGAAATTTTTAAAATTATACTAACAGACACATTGCCACTAATCTCCCCCAAGACACCCTCCTCTCTTCTAACGCCTTTCCCACCACTCCTGCCACTATCTGAAGCAGTTCTGAAATCCTCTTTTGGGAGTGTCTTTGGTTGCACTGTCATAGCTGCACTGATCCCTTGAATTCACTTAAAACATTTACCTTCCACTGTTGTTTTGACTTTGGGAAAGTCACACAGTACCAGATCTGGTGAATATGGTGGATGAGGACACAGGTTATGTTTTGCGAGTTGTCCTTCCACTGGATGGCATTTAGGCACAGCATTCACTGGATTTTTGATCATACCCCACAAAGACACTCACCAAAGAGGACTTCTTCCAGAACTGCTTCAGAAAGTGGCAAGAATATGATGTGAATAAAGTGAGGGGTAGTGTTTTTGAGTGAGATCAATGATGATATATGTTTTATTATACTGAATTAGAAAACAATTTAAACATTCACTGTGTTGTTTGACAATACTATGTAGATACAGTACTTGTGTATACACACACGTACTTTGGTAATGATTCTGAAAGAACTAAAGGATTCAGGGAAGTTTTTAATTGTTTCAAGTTACTTCGGTTACGTCTTTCCAACCACTGCATAACATATTACACATCTCTCTCAGTATATCCAACCCAGTGAATTTTTAACCCAGTGTTGGATCAATTTTTTCCCACATGAACACCTGATAAAGTATTTGGTTTATGTTAAAGAGCCAGGTTGCAAGGGTAAATAGTGCTTTAGACAGTAAGATTGCATATAGTATAGAATGTTCATGCCACGTGAGGTACACAGAGGCTGAGAAGATGCCTGAAGAGTATGCATCTATCTTTCACACCGGATCAGTTCTTAAGTCTTTGCCCACTGACAGGTAACAGAAGGCAGGGTTGGTTCCTTTACTTACTTTGCATATTGACTGCGGTTGTCTGTATAATGGATCTGTGTAAGTTAAGCAAACGTACTATGTTATAATGCTGAAGAAAGATCTGCACAAGATGGCACAGCAGTAGCCCAGCAATAATGTAAAGATGAAACAGTACAGGAAAGTGTGAGTTCCTAAAGTCCTAGCCTCTAGCTATGTCCTGGGTCTTGCTCTTGCTTGCTGTTTGATGTTACCTGATAAGTCTATGCCTCAGTTTCCTTATTTACCAATTCATTGTGGTTTTGTTGAGGATTTAATAAGGTAAGTAAGAATATCTGATACGTAGTAAACAGTTTAAAAACCTTAAGTTTCTCTTGACTCTCCTTCATCTCCCAAATACACTGCTTAACAGTTGGAAAGAGAATGTAACAAAAAACAAAACAAAACAAAAAAGGTAGTTGGTGTCAGATTACAGAACTTCATATTCCAAGTTATAATCCAGAGCTATCCAAAACAAACATGTGACATGTAATTTAAATTTTCTTAGTAGCTACAATTTTAAAGTTAAAAATGAAGCAAATTTTGCTACTTTATTGAACTCAGATATGTTCAAAATACCATCACAGTCAACATAAAAATTACCAAATTCATTTTATATCTTTTAAAAATTCTTTTTGAAATCTACGTGTACTTTATAATTACCACACTTTTCAATTCAGACTGATTACAATTCACATGCTCAATGTCTCCCTAAGACTAGTGGCAATGATATAAGAAAGATCAGCCATAGACAATGGAGAACCACTGGCATATTTAATCAGCAGAATGGGATACTTTGGAAAGATAAAATGTTAGCAGCAGCTGAGTGTAGTAGGTGTATGTCTGCAATTCCACCTGCAAGTTCAAGGCCATCTTAAGGTACATAGTGAGTTCAAGACTAGCCTAAACTACAGTCAGACCCTATCTCAAAAACAAACACACAAACACAGTAACTTGTTAGCTGTTCTTGGGACTGATTATAGGAGACAAATGGATAATCACAAAGACTCATCTGAACAAGGAAGACACCAGTCAGAATAGCCAACATCAGATGAAGAGAGAATTTAGATGATCCAATGATTGATTTCATGGGATGAAGAGGAGCAAAGGGGGCGATGTGGGGCTGTTAGGCTGTGTATGATAAAAATAGTTGGCTTCTCTCTAAATTGAAAAGCTAAATGTTCCCTCCCATCAACTTAATATGGTTTTCAGGCTAACCTACTTTGTTATATAAGCCAACTGTTGAATTTCTCTCTTACTTAGTAAAGAGAAACCCACACAGCAAAAACTAGATAAATGTCTTCATCTTCCATGCAGTTTAGTGGTCCAGGGCCTGCTAAACACGCACAGGGCACTAGGGTAAGTCTCCAGCATCGCACACACACAAACAGAACGACACAACAGTCATCACACACTAACCTAAAGTGATTGTAGGTCCTCAAAGGCACGGACTAACCTCACTGCCTCCTGTCCCCCTTCCTAAACAGAAAAGTCCATCACAGAAGTCCCTGTCTGAAACCAGTTGAGGTTTGTTGGATTGAATTTAACTACAGGACAAATGGAACCATTTTCTTCTGTTGAGATGTCATATCCTTCTTAAAAGTATGTCTGAGAGCTTAAGTTAAACTCTTGCCCTGTTTTCCTCTTAGAACATTGGAGTTTTTGTTCCTATAGTTAGACAAAGTAAAAAAAAAAAAAAAGTAATGGTATTCTGAGGTCTACAGGCATATAAAAAGCACCACAGACAATGATCCCGTCCCTACTAACCCTCTAATTGAAGATCCTAGGGGAGAAAAGGAAGCACTAAGAAAATGTTTCCATCGCACATTTCTGGAGACTATCAGATAAGCAGAAAGAGTTGGATGAACTATACCTGACCTTTCAATCACTCATGCAAACACATTCACAAGACATCGGTGCAACCCCTGTGGCCTTCCTCCCCGGTGCCCCACCCACCACTCAGAGAGCGCCCCCCATAGGGCTGCAGCCTTACCTCAGACAGCAGGTGCTGGATCACAACTGTTAATGCTTCAAGCTTGATATTGCCGCGGGAGAGGAGCTGCTTCAGCTGCAGGATAAATCCACTTTGGCTTTCACATTTCGTTTTATACTGAGTCAATTCAAGTGCTTTTTCAGAAGACAGCACATCTGGAGATGTCTGAGTCTGGATGCACAGACTTCTGGGATTCTTTTGCCTGCTCTTTTCAACTGCAAGAGGAATTAACGTTGCACAAAGATATGTGAGGTTAATTCTTATAATCACCGCCACATGGGTTCAAAACCAACTCATAAGCCACAGAAATGCATTTAAATTATGTTTACGTAAGGAACTCATATGGGCCAGAACTGGAGTTGATCAAGGGTCTAGATGTTTGGAATTCATAAACATAATGGCTTTAGTTCTAACTTTTAAAGATTTATGTGGGGTAGAGAATTATACATATGAAACAAATAGGTTTAACAGCCCAGAAACATGAAACTAGTATGTAAAATGCTGATTTCATAGACTTTAGTTTCCAGTTAAATTAGCAGGGAAATCGGATTGTGACTACTATTCTGACTGTTTAATCACATACGCAGAAAAGACGACACAAACATTGGACTCTCCATGTCTTTCATTCTTCCTTGACATTTTGTAAAACCATCTCATCCTTTGATTGCTGACAGCCTGGTCATTCCAAAGTTTCCTACTGCAGATGTGTCATTATCTCTAATAAATCAGCACATACACTGAGAATCTACTCACATTTTGCTATCTTTAAATATGGTTATGAGTGCAATTGCTTGGCTGTTCTATTCCATTTGCTATCAAGTTCTGTTCCTTTTTTTCCCCCTCAAGTAGTAATAACGGGTGAAATGTTTTTTAATAGCACATGCTAATACTCCAAACCCATGTAAGGTGTCATGCAAAGTGATTATTCACTTCTCATGCTGTCATGCCCTCAAAAGAACTCTGCCTTGAAAAACTGTTTACTTTTGGAAACATTCCAAGTGTTTCAGTCACTTTAAATATCACACAGAAATGGAAAAACAGGAAACAAATTGCCCAGCTTCTTGACATAAACAGGTTAAACACAAGAAAGTAAAATTTAAAAATGTTTCTGTATTCTGACACATATTCTCTAAGACATCCACCTTCTGTGGCAACAAAGAGATCTAAGCAAGACTTATAAACCATCAGGGATTGTTTTGTGTAATTTTTCAAGGAGACACATATTATGATCAGTATCACTTAAAAGAAAAGAAACTTCAGTATTTGTTTCAAGAACCAGTGGCAAAACACATGCAATATATTCTAATTATAAAACAGAATAAAGTTTTGTTTCTTATGGTTGCTTTACATGGTTAGACAACTCGTATTTGTATCAATATTTAATAATCTTCAGTTATGAAATGACTGAAATATCCTTTGTGTTTATTAATAGTTAAAGAGACAATCTATCCATTATTTATGAGTAGTTTTTAAGTTGTTTACCAGTATTTGCAATTTCCTTGGTAGATGGAGAAAATATTCAACTTGATAGTGTTGCAACACTACAATCCAGAAGAACAAACTATAGACTTGCTATGCTAATGAAAATAATCTTTGACAACTTGTCAAGATATCTGCAATCTGTATTTCTTTATCTCATGTCATTTTCTAAACAGTCTAAGAAACTGTACTTGTCACATTCCATACAATGATTATACAGTGTTTTACTATTCGGTGTTCTCAAGTGCCACCTCCACCCCGCTTATTCTTTTGAGATCATTAGGCCAGCTCTAGTATCAGTCCTCCTGCCTTACCCACTGTAGAGCTGTGCGCAAACCCATCTGGCTTTCCCCGCTTTTGACCCTCCCTGTAATCTAGGTAGAAGGGAAGGAGGTAAAAAGGAGCTCACAGAAGTAAAAGGACTTCCCCAGGCCTCTGATACAAGTCTCTAATGCTCCCACACCTTTGGGAAAGTGGATTCGGTAGAGATATAATGTATTTCTGAATTTTAAAAATATGCTATCAATCTCACAAAACAGTATTTGAAGCTATTCAGGTTATAAAGTCCCATCAATAGATGAATGGAATAAAGAAGTTATGCCATGTATACCCAGCGGAGTGTTATTCAGCCACAAAGGAGGGTAATTTTGAGTCATCTGTAGGAAAATGGATGAACTGTGAGACCATGATGCTAAGTGAAATAAATTAATCACAGAAAGCTAAATATCTCATGATATTGCTAGGATGAGAGACCCAAAATACAAATGATTTAAATACCAAAATAAAGGCCTATGTGGAGATGGGAAGGGGATCTGGGAAGGAGGCAAAAAGGACAGTGGGGGAGAAGATTAAAAATCATCACAATACACACTCTGTATCAAACCTCCACGCTCAACGGAATCACTATGAACCACAAACACATGCTAATAAAAAATATGCAGGGGCTGGGGATTTAGCTCAGTGGCATAAGCACCTGCCTTGCAAGCAGGCAGTCGTGAGTTTGGTCCCCGGTACCGATAAAAACGAAAATGACAAAAAAAAAAAAAAAATATGCAGGCTGGACAGGAGCCTGTTGTGTTGACTGATGTCAGTGCACAGTGTCCTTTCAAAACTTCCTTAACAGTTCATTTATACATTGCTACACTGCTTTGTAATTTCTTGAATCCTTAATATTTGAGTGCAGAATTTTTATGCCTATCGATGTTACTTAACACAGTATCAGTTTTAAAACTGTTGAGCTATAATTATTTATAAAATGTGAGGTCAATGTTTTATATTAACATTTTTGAAAAATATCTTTCAGATGCTTGTTTTTTTGTGTACAAATGTGACAGGAATATTGCAGAATACATATATAAAAGTATTAACAATGTTTACTTTTTCAGGTTAAGAAATACAGAAATGAGATGGATAAACAGTGCACTAAGACATTTTTGACTTTTAAATCAAATTTTGTATTTAATTTTTGAATAAATATCCTTTGATTTAAAAGTATAAAAGCTGCTTTACATTTAAAATATAAATAAAAACAAAAATGTAAAAAGATGACTAAAATGAATTCAGAGCACTTAAATCCCTATGTAATGTTTACCATCCCAAGAATACAATATTCTGACTTCGTCCTTGGTTAATCTGTATTGGAATCTAAATACCACTAGTTTTGTTAGTGGCTCAAAATAGATTTACAGTTGAGGAGGAGGGAACACACTGGCTTATTGTTCTTCCAGGTCTCCAGCTGTACCATGTGCCGTCTACCTGGATCTGGAAAAGCATGTTGTGACCTCAATCTTCTGCCCCACGTTCCGTGTTCCCCAGGACAGAACTGCAGCACATGGCAGCTGATGACCCAGTTTGTGCCTTCTTCCCTCTCCCCACTCCTGGTTCAGCCAGACATCAGAGATGATGCAAGAGTCTCCAGCGATGTGCAATCCCCAAAGGCACATAGAAACAGCACACTTCATAACAGAGAAAACCCACGGGTTTCCCTTAAGTCCTTTATGATTTATTATTTACATGAAATTAGCATAATGCAAACCACATTTTGCTCAATTCTTACATATCACTGTTTTGATAATGCAGCTGTATTTAAGTCTGAACTATTTTATATCTACTAAAAGAACATGTTCTGATTTCAAAGAATCAACTTAATCAGAAGTCTTAAAACGCCACGTTAACCTCTATGTCAGTTCAGATTTCTCTCAATTAAGACACAGTACAGTAATGATCACTATCACTTCTGATCCAACCTCACTGAGATTCATTCTAATAACTGAAACCTCCACCAACAAAATAGGTGTGGGATCAAAGACATTTGCCCACTTAAAAAACTGCTAAATAATTTAGGCTCTCTTTGTTCTTTCTGCTCAGAAATCTTAAGTCTGATCTGATTTATTATCTTCTTACAGAAACTAATTGGTTAAATAGGAACAAGTCCATTTTCTAGGCTCAAGTCACTCAAATTGATCAGTCCCCATCACAAGATCAAAAACCACTTTTGAGAGAGGTTTCACCATTAAACCATAGAAGAATCATGACTACAAAGACCAGCTGAGGACAGTCATCCTAAGGTCAAAAAACTACACATTTATTGAATATGCTGTTTTTCCAAAATATTAAGATCAACTTAGACACATGAGCTTTTGCCTTGGGTTCCATGAAACACAAAATGAAGCACAGAATTCAGTAACCAGTGTTGCAAACTCCCATCAGCACATACTCACTAGCCTGCTCACTCTCCAAGTATTTCCCAACATCCATCACAGAAGCTCTGCTGGGGCAGGCAGACCTGCCCCAATGCCCTGCAGGTGGGGAGGCATCACACTGGGGGGCAGCAGTGCACAGGGAAGGAGGATTTCTTGCTGGTCCACTCTCAGCATTGATCGACCTGTGTAAGGGTGCAGGCACCAAGTACTACGTGCTTTCCCTGCATAATGCATCAAAAGTTCATGTTTGTCATCTAATATAAAACTTAGATAATGAATTTGAGAGCTGCTGAAGGGTTCTTTGGACAGATATCTAATTCCTCACTTTCTGCTTTCATCCAAAACCACGTATCTAAAAACCCTAATGGGGACACCCATGCACAAATTTCTGTCAGTGTTTCTTCAGTATCAGATGACAGGTGCTCATTAAGATATTCCATGAAAACAAAATATTAAAATGGGAATTATTGGGAAGTATGTTTTCTGATAACAGAAAGTACTCAGACATGAAATGTAAATGTCTATCGATGCCTTCCTAACAAACTAGTCTTTGTTTGCAAGTAATCTTTGTGTAGCAGACATAGAGACATACCATCAATAGCGGCAATGTGACTTGATAATTAGACGCTAGAGCTCTGTATGCAGTGTGGTGAGAGGACAGGCAGGGAGCGTAGGCAGAGTTCCTAGAGGCAAGAGTTGGGATGGACATTTGCACATCTGACAGACAGATGAGCAGAGGAGAAGCAGAAGGGCATTCCAAGGAGGTGAAGCCAGCAAACACAAGGGCATTTAGCCCCTGGATGTGTGGATTTCACAGCACAGAAACCCCAAATTAAAGCGAAATAAAGCAGATTAATAGGGTGATAGCATATACGCTATGTATACATGCCACAGCAAGATGCTATGCATCTTGCAGGAGCCAGGGAACAGTGCTGAGCAGTCCTAGAGACATGAGAAAGATCTTGAGGGGCAAAACCAGAAGCAGAGAGGCTAGGAGGAGGCCCAGGAAGAGGCATTCAGGGGTCCATGACATG